TGGAGAGAGAGAGAGAGAGAGAGAGGGGGCTTTCTTCCTACCAGACACCGTGTGTGTAGTAGCAATTAATGACTAGGCTTTGTTCCCACCCTCAATGTGTGTCCAGCGGTGGTGGTCTCGATCCTCGATTGTTTGATGTGTTGCCGAAAAATGGTCAGAAAACTCACAGCCTGCTAGAGTTTTGATCCCAACGATTAGGGATGAGATTTGTGACAAGGCTAGGTGTTTTCGACTTGCAAGGACGAGATGAAATTGGTGGTGGCTTCATTTTGGACGGTGTTGGTCGGGACGACTATGCACCGCGTGTGCACAGTGGTGCACAGTGAGAATGGGAGAGAGAGTGCATGAGGGAGAAAGTGAGAGAAGAGAGAGGGAGGGAGAGAGGGAGAGTAGAGAGAGAAAATAGAAAATGGGAAGAAATAACCCATTTATATACGAGGGCAATTATGTCATTTCAAGGTGTAGGAAAAATCGTGTTTTTGTCCGATTGTTGTGCATGGTGTTTGCATATTTGAAAAATCCTATTTATATCCTAAGATTAAAAAAATATTCTATTTTAAGTAATTCCCAATAATTTAAAGTGCAAGTAAAACTTAACTCGCTCAAAAGACTGTCATTGGTAGAATCCAACAATGACATGCTTATTATACTATATATCATTTAACTTGAATTGGCTACTTAGCCTCTCAGTCACATTGGTATAGAACTCTATGAAGAGAACCTAGCTCGTTCATTTATTTTGGAGCATCATCAGTTGCATTGGATCAATACCATTTCTTTGTCAAAAGAAGAGTATGATTTGTTTTAGTTTGGTTTTTTCAACCCATCCAAATATCACGTGGTATCATGTTCTTCAAATAATATTCTTTCAGTCGCGTTACTTAAATATCTCGTAAAACATATTTTGGGTGCATCCAATTCATAAAACTCGTTTATGCGCGTACTTCAAATATGAAATGTGAGTTATTTAACAAAAAAATAAATAAATATGAAACGTGAGTTGTTATTACAATCCAAGTCAATGTTTGGTAGCTTGGCCATGTGAATTCTGACAAGGAAAAGATTTCAATTTTTAATGCAAACGAAAGCAAACCACATGACTGATTATTGACTGGTACACAGGTTATGGATATGGTTTTCATCCGAATTCAAATGGTGAGAATTCTAAAACTCTTTACATTTGAATTATTTATCGTGCATCATGCTGTTAAAAATTATTTGATTTTTTTTATTTAAATTTAAACGTAAATAGAATCAGACAAAAACTAATCGTACAATATACGACAAACAGTTATAATGTAAAGATATCTAAGATCCTCATAAAGTGAATTCAGAGATTTCCAAAGAAACTTCACATATGCAAATTTCTGCATTTCTTTAATATTTTTCAGGGGAAATAGTAGCTAGTTTTTTATTATTAAAAAACATTACAATCTTCTAAAAGAACGTTACTAATGATATTTGGGAGCTCATCATACTTACAATTAGATTTTAGTTTTGTATTTTTAAATAAAAATCTAACAGTTGACACACTCAAAATATCTTCTGAGCCAAAGTACCATAAAAAATTCCTCCATTAATGTTGGGGGAATATAGCCACTTAACCCTTCATTAAGGGTGGGCACGGTTTGGTTTGATGGGATTTTGGTGCGAAATAAAGCCAAAGTACCGTAAAAAATCCCTCAAGGTGTTTTTGTACCTGTCTTGGGTGCAAGAAGGCTCACCTCTCTTCATCTCCTTCGTTTTGTTTTTGGAGGAGATCTTGATGGGTGTGGAAGAGGTCTTGATAGGGGTTGTATGGACTGCAAAAGGTTCCTTGGCGGGCTTTTTTCCAGTCTTGTCTACCTTTGGGGCGAACACCTTATCCTTTTGGAAGTCCATGATCGGCTCCTTCTTCCCATGATTGGCAATACTCAGCTCCATGTCATGGGATCGAGTTGCCAATTCTTCAAATGTTCTCAGTTTTATGTGTTGGAGGATGTAATGTAACCCTCATTGCATGCCTTGAACACACATCTCAATGGCGGAGGTTTCAGATTTAATGAACGACATCTATTGATGTAGTCGATGACAGGTTCATCCTTGCACTATTTCGTATACGATGCGGCGAGTGCTATAGAAGCTATTGAGGAATTCCTTTTCAAGCTGGTCTCAGCTGTTGATAGACTCGGGCTCGAGGTCAGTGTACTAATCAAAGGCATTACCTTTTAGCGAGTGCACCAAACCCCCCCCGGGCGTCCCAGCATTGTTGCAAGTTTCAATGAAATGGGCAATATGTTGTTTAGGATTGCCTTTTTCCATTGAATTGCATGAATTTGGGTGGCTGACAACCCTTTGGCATCCTCAAGGCGTCAATCCTTTTAGAGTATGGCTTTGAGTACAACACGGAATCATGCGAGCTTCTTTCATATTGCTCCTTGATCATGCTTGTGATCATCTCTTGCAGCTATTGGATAGAGAGAGATCTCATGAGCGTCGCAGCTTGGTCCACCTCTAGCTTATCCTTAGCTTTGTCCATCAGAGGCTCTTCCTTTTTGTCAATTTCCTCGTTTGGTGGATCAACCTTCGGGTCAGCTTTCTCGTCGTACTGCGTCTTTAGACGGTTGACAAGTGTAGCAATCTACAATTCCTTTTCCTTCACGGTCCTTATCAGCCTTGTGATTGCTTCACTCATTTGTGCCCACTGCTCTTCGATTGAAGTCGCACCAGTAGTCATGACTTGCATGGCTATAGGATACAAGTTGCTATTTTCTTCCCTTGTGCACTTAGCAAGGCCATGATGATCATAGGCTCGTGCCTTGGGTGCTCTTGCTCATTCGACAGAGTTGATGTAGAGGTGGAAGGCACGGCAGAGAGAGTTCTTGCCTTGCTTCGGGTTGTGACGCCCAAAGTGTCACCACTTGCTACAAGGATGTTCTTGTTCTTTGCTTTGGTTGCAGGAATAGCTTGATCATTTCTTGATGTCATGTGTGTTTCTTATGGATTTGAAGACAAATATGAGAGGCAGAGAAATCCCATTGGGTGTGCCAAATTTGTAAACACGAAAATTCTGTAACGAATGAAACGAGAACACGTGTACAAAGTAGATTTGTATTGATAAATTTGCAGGGTTACAATCTTTGTTTACAACTTTCCTCTGATTCGATCTCCGAAAGATGTGTGGATGTGTAGGTTGTTGATCCAAGAGTCACGATGACTTGATCTCAGACGAATGATTGAACGATTGCTTCAAGTTTTGAGCTTGAAACAATGCGTGGATAGTCTTCACCTCTAGGTTTGTGCATGACTTACGGCAAAGGTGATGTTGATGTGGGATTTTGTTGATTCAAGGGTCTTGGCAACTTGATCTTGAATCGAACATCATTACAAGTTTTAAACTTGCAACAAAGCTTGAAGGAATCGGAACAAGTGCTTGTTGATTCTTCAAGGGAATGCTTCGGCTTTGGTCAAAAGAAAGTTTGGCTTTTGTTGATCATTCTTCGAAAAGAGCTTTGGCAGCGTATTGGTCTTCAAAGATTTGGCAGAGGTTCTCGTGAGAATTTCGGCCCTTCAATGTATAAATTGTCGACCTTTATGCTTGTCTAAGGACCTTGTATTTATAGACTTCTCGAAGCTTGCCTTTGGATGGATTTGGCTTTGATTTGTGTCTTGATTCGTCCATGGGAGAATTTAGGCATGTTTTGTGTCTTAATTTCAGCCATTTTCCCTTGCTTGGCCAAAATCTATAGGGCTTTCTTGCCTATTTTGCGATCAATCTTCAATTTTAGCTTATTTTGTGAAGATGCTTTAGCTTTCATTCTAGTTTTGGGGGGCAATTTGGGCCCTTTGCCGAATTTTAGGAATGCTTTTGAGCTTCGTTTGCTTGATTTGTGTCACATGTCATTGATGACTTGTCCATTTGTGATAAATCATATGCCACGTGGAGCTTTGTGATGCATCATTTGTATGCAATGAAATTTACATGTCTACACCGTTTTCTTACATTGTGGTTCGGTTTCAAACTGAAACCGTTTCACAACCTCAAAGCCATAATGTTCAATGCGGTTCAATTTGGTTCGTGTTTCGGTTTTGATTTTCGGTTCTAAGTACCCACCCCCCACCCTTCATTGAGATCCCAGACAAGGGTGAACAACATGCATGTTACCCTAAGTTGGACCAATATCATTCAGAAGACTAAACACCATAGATAGTGGATTCTTGGGAATTATCTTCATGCTGCATGGCATGCCCTTAAATGTTGAATTCTTCGGAATTGTGCCTTAATTAGTTGATCATATTCATAGGCGACAATATCCAACATGGGATCAAATTTTAAGATTCTTCCAAGGGAAAAGGACAAATTTTACATGGTATCAAATTTTAAGATTCTTCCAAGAGTAAACGACAAATTTTACCGTGCATCATGTACCAAGCTTTGATTGGTGTAGGCCCTCTAATGATGCCAAAATAGCTACGTGTGTGTGTATATATATATTTATGTACAATATAAAATGCAAAGATTTGGAGGCCTCCATACAATAATTTTTTGGTTAATTTTAATAAATGTACTTATGTTTACATATATATATATATATATATATAAACAACTATAATATAAAACAACTATAAATTTATGCAAAGATTTGCTTATGATGAATTGGGGAAATGCAAAGATTTGGAGGCCTCCAATGTTTTGATACAATAAGTTTTTGGTTAATTTTAATAAATGTACTTAAGTTATATATATATAAACAACTATAAATTTTAACTTTTAATTTAAAAAATATAATAGCCTACATAAAAATACTTACATTAACGTCAGAGATTTCGATAAAAAATTAAAAACTAACAAGATTTTAATAAAAGAGCATTGATAACTAGGAGAAATTTTCCAGGTACCTAGCACACATGTTGACTTGGAGTTCCCCGCCAATAGGCATCTGATACCTATCTTTCTACTTCTTAAGTGACATGAAAATACCCATTGTACCCTTATATTCATTTCACAAAATAATTAAAATAAATTGAAGGCCGGATTTCATTCGCCGTCGAACCCCCAATCCCCAATCTCTGTCCCCCATCCCCCATCCCTTCACGGCTTCACCCATCATCCCCTTCCACATCACCTTTCTCCCTTATCTCTTTCTTTCTCTCTCTCTTCCCTTTTTTATTTCTTCTCTTTCCTGCTCCAGAGTAAGAACAAAAAGGATGTCGATGAATTCCGAATGATAGATCGAGATTGACGACAGCAAATTTGAGTTGGAGTTGCCGCTGACAATCTCTGGGTTCCATGTATATGTAAGAGAGAGAGAGAGAGAGAGGGGAAAGGAAAGAAAGAGAACGTCGAACAGAGAGAAGGGATGATGATGCCAGAAAAATCGCCGACTGGGGATGGAGGCGGGTGTGGGTGGTTTGGCGTCGTCATGCTCGTAAGCCTCTAATATCATTTTGAGTATATTTTTAAATAATTGTCAATTTTTTAATTTAAAAGAATAAAATATACAGGTGTCAAAAATTTATTAGTAGAATTCCAGGTCAGCATATGTTACAGGTACTTGGAAAAATTTCTTAATAATTGAGGAGCACGTCCGAAGTATCCCATTGCTATATATATATGCAACTCTTATAGCAGAATAGGCACCAAAAGCAAGAGTACGCAGAGGCATTATTTGAGAACTAAAACAAAAATGGAGCTAGAGCAAGTGCTTCACATGAATGGAGGAGTTGGGAAAACAAGCTATGCAACCAACTCTCTACATCCAGTTAGTCGCCATTCATTTCTCTATTTCTTTCTTATTTTACTTAAGCTCTGTATATACTTTCGTTCCTAGCTCATATTCGATTTTACTGAACCTTTTTAATGACAAGGACTTGTTTTCATAAAATTAAGAAAATTTTAATAATATTCAGCTATCTAAAATTTATTTCAGAGAGCTGTGATTTCATTGGTGAAGCCCATAGTTAACGCAAGCATAGAGCAGCTTTGCGGCAAACTCTTCTCTGACTGTTTGAAAATAGCAGACTTGGGATGCTCTTCCGGACCCAACACCCTTTTGGTGGTATCAGATATCATACACAACATCCATGCCGCTTTCCAAAAACTGAACCGTCCATATCCTACCATCCAAGTCTTCTTGAACGATCTTCCCGGAAACGATTTCAACACTGTGTTCAGGTCACTGCCAGGGTTCTATAAGAAATTTGAGGAAGAACTGAAGTTAGGGCCATGTTTCATTACTGCAATGCCTGGTTCTTTCTATGGCAGGCTCTTTCCAAACAATTCTCTTTGCATAAAGAGCCATGATCCACTTTGCATTTGGGAAGTTGTCGGACTTAAACTCAATGATATGGTTTTAGAGGTGATTTGTGGCCTAGATTATTAAGCAGAAAAATCTACATACCAAGTAGGAACAATATAATTGAAACCAACTAAATCCCATCCACATTAGTTTATGTACTATCGCAAAAGCTTAATAATTAGCACTTCCATATGAAATTGTTAAAAATAGTTCGACATTTTTATTACATTTTTAGGTATATCTATAATAGAGAGGGAACCAACAAAAAAAAAAAAAAAAGGCTGATACGGCTACAAATTGAGAACTACATTATGATTGATTTGTTACTCTAAAAAGTTGCAAAAAATTACTATTTACATAGAAAACTAAAGCAGACTAAAGCGAACCCTAATCTAAAGAATCCTAATTTTCCAACAAAGTCTTACAACGTATGTGTTTCCTTCAATAATTGCTTTACAAATTACTAACTTTATTTAATTTGATGAATTTTAGGGTTTGATTGAGGACGAAAAATTGGACACATTCGATCTGCCATATTATGCACCTACAACAAAGGAGGTTGAAGATGTGATCGAGGCGGAAGGATCTTTAACTTTGCAAAGCCTTGAAGTTTTAAAAAATGATTGGGACTCTTATATAAAGCGTGCTGACGGTCGCCTTGATAGAAAGGCAAGGGCTGCCGTACTTGCCACTGATATAAGGGCTGTGGGAGAGCCTATTCTGGCAACCCAATTCGGAGAAGCAGCTATGGACGATTTGTTTCGCCGGTTCGAAGAAGATGTCCTTGATCACATGGATAGGGAGAATTGCCAGTACATTAGCCTGGTTATCTCGTTGACAAAGAAGCGTTGAATAAAATGAATATGCAAAGAGAACAAGATTTAGGTTATATTGTTCTTTTTATCATTCTCCATTTCATGTTTTGTACTTCATTTCATTATAAGAAATAAATTTGCTTACTATTAACTACTGTAGGGATCAGCAACCTTTCAGTAAAACGAGGAAGATGAATTGAAGAGAGAGGGCTTTGGTCTTTGGAAAGGGATTCTCTTCGGCTCTCTTCCACCAAATTCACTAATTCGGGCCCTTGAAATTTGATCCAGCGGCTAAAAACAAAGTTCCCCTTTAAAAGTTATAATAACTTTAGTTGTACGATCAAATTTCAAGAGCCTGGATTGGTGGATTTGGTGGAAGGAATCCGGAGGGGATCCATTTCCTTGGTCTTTGTATGTATCTTGGAAAAAAATAAAGGGTGATTTTGTATAAAATCAATTAAAAGTTAGGGTAAAGTACAAAAAACTACCTCAACTATTGGTGTTACGACACTTTTATACCTTATCTTTTAAAATTGATAATGTCGTACCTCATCTTACGAATTTGTGTCAATGTCAGACCTCCGTCAGTTTTTCTATTAATTTTTCTGTTAAATGCTGATGTGGCTTAAGATGGGCCCCACTCCTTAATCCAATTAGATTAAAAAATAATTAAATATTAAAAAATTAAAAATAAAATTATTTTTTTATATTAAATAGTGGGATCCACCTCCCTTTCTCGCCTCTCTCTCTTCTCTCTTTGGGCAACCCCTCCCTCCCATCCCCCAACCTTCCCCCTCTCGTCTTCCCCAAACCCATCCTGCTCTCGTCTTCTTTGCGCCGATCACTACCGCCACTCTCCATTTGACCTCCTCCGCTGCTTCAACCTCCCTCGCCGCTCTCCCTTCGACCTACCCCACCACTCTACCTTCGACCCATCCCCAAAATCCCAGAAACCCTTCCCACCCATCCCCCCACCCTTCCTCCACCACCCTCTTTCTCTCATCTCTCTCTCCTCTCTCTCACTCTCGCCTCTCTGTCTCTTCTCTCTCTCTGGGCAACCCTCCCCACCCATCCCCCCAACCTTCCTCCTCTCGCCTTCCCTAACCGAAGCACCCCAAACCTAGATCTCATGAGGAAGATCGATGCCTTCAAGCGCGAGCTTCCTCTTTGCATGTTCCTATTGAATGATGGTTCGTTTTTGTTTCCCCTGGAAAAAAAATAATAAATTCAAGCTTTGATTTCAAGTACATATTTTCCTGGTTTTTCACAACTTTTTGAAATATTTCAGGATATGGGTTTTGGATTTCTGATGATTTTGATTGATGGGTATCTAGAAATTATTTAATTTAATTCGATTTCAGAAATGAGTTTTTGGTGTCAATTGGTTTTGGATGATGGGTTTTGAGTGGCGGTAGTGATCGGCGCAAAGAAGACGGGAGTGGCGAGGGAGGTCGAAGCGGCAGATCAATGGCAGAAAAGTCAAAGAGGGGAAGACAGGCCGTGGGGGACGGCAATGGGGAACAACGATGTGGGACGACGATGGTGTAGAATGGAGATGAGAAAGAAAACAGAGAAGTGTCTGGAGATGGAGAAGACGACTTTGGTTGTTTTGTTTAGGGATGTGACCGCCGCCTCTGGTTGTTCTATTTGGGGATGCCGCAGCAGCTGCGAGTAAGGTAAGAGTTTTGACACTGAAGGCGTCACGCTGAAGGCGCAGGTGGAAGAGTTGGGTGGGAGTTTTGTTAAGGGCCATGGCGTCGATGTGGTGTAACTGTACAGAGAGAAAGTTTGGGGTTGTGGCGATGGCGGAAGAGGAAGATTGTGGGGCTGTTTAGTTACAGATTTAAATTTGGTGAGGGTGATGAATTTCTAGGGGATAAAAATATTAAATAGAAATATTTTTTAATTTTTTAATATTTTATTAATTTTTTAATCCAGTTGGACTAAGGAGTGGAGCTCATCTTAAGCTACATCAGCATTTAACAGAAAAATTAACAGAAAAACTGACGGAGGTATGATATTGACACAAATTCGTAAGATGAGGTATGATATTGTCAATTTTAAAAGATGAGGTATGAAAGTATCGTGACACTAATAGTTGAGGTGATTTTTGTACTTTACCCTAAAAGTTATGATATTAACAATAGGTCAATCGAATTTATTGGAATTATAAATAGGTCAATGAGACCTTAAGATACATTAACCTCAATCAAATTAAAATTACAAATAATGTCATTGCCATTTAAAACACCAAACATTTCCATCTCCTTCATTGTAAATCGCACCTCCCACCACCTTCAAACTTCAACCTCCCCGCCTCCCACCCACCTTCAACCTCCATTACTTCAACCTCTCCCGCCTCCCACCACCTTCAACCTTCATTTTTCAGACACTACAATGCAGTGTCTGTTTCCTGTTCTGTAATTATGCATTCGAATTCAAGTAGGTTTGTGGATTCAGACACTTCGCTGCAGTGTCTATTTCCTATTATGTGATTATGCATTCATATTCAAATAAGTTTGTGGATTCAGACACTGCAATGCAGTGTCTATTTCCGGTTCTGTGGATTCAGACACTTCGTTGCAATGTCTGTTTCCTATTTTGTGATTGTGCAGTGAGATTCAAATAGGTTTGTTGCAGTGTCTGTTTTCGATTCTATGGATTTAGACATTTTGTTGCAGTGTTCTTGTTCTATGATTGTGTATTGAGATTCAAATAGGTTTATGGATTCAGACACTGCAATACAATGGCTGTTTCTTGTTCCATGAATTTAGACACTTTGTTGCAGTGTCTGTTTCCTGTTCTAAACAATAATAAAAAGAGAAGTACATACATGCATACACACAGATAGATCAAAAAACAAACCTGAAGCTCCACGATTACAACCGTTGTCATCGGCCTTGACTACCTTGGAAGTATCAACATCGCCACTCCCGGTGCTGATAAAAACAGAAGTTATCAGATTAAATCAAAGGTTCTAGTAATACCAATTCAATGCTCAAATAAATTAGTTTAATTACAGTTACCAATCAAGAACATCTAGGACTTTCTGCTTTCCATCAGATGTAACTTGTAATCCAGAAGCAGCTGGATCCACTCCAGAATCTGATTCAAAGTTTCAGTTCAACAACTTAATTTCCTCAGCTCAGAAAATCAATCTGAGACTCGATAACCTAATTTTCTTAATCAAACCTAATCACAGCTATAATCGCACGTTTCTTTCATATTAGAGGAATCAAACAGAATATATACGTTTAGAATTAGAGCAATTCTCCTTCCTGCAATTTTCTTCATTTTCTTTTCTCCTAAACAGAAATTAAGCGATTGAAGTGATTAAGTTACCCAAGATAGCGATGAGGGCGCCGCGGCGGTCGTAGTTGGGATGCGCATCGATAAATCGATCGACGCCAATTTCTTTCTTAGGCATGAGGGAGGCCAAGAACGTGTACTTATTCAGCTTGAAATTGGTCAGAGCACCATTACCGTCGCCACCGCCTCCGCCAGCACCGCCGATTGCAGAGCAAGGCATTGCCCAGACCTTGTGGGCAAAGAAGACGCCACGGCAGAGGAAGAAGTGGGAAGGATGGCCGGTGAGGCAGATGACGGCTGGTAAGGCGTCTTCTTCTTCCACTCTTTTTCTTCCGAGGGTATTTTGGTGTTTTCACGAATTTTATAATGACTTAAAGCTTATGTGGCATTCATTATTAACCTTTACCTAATTAATAAAAATATATCATTGATTAAGTTCAAAATAAAAATATGTCATTGATATATGGCTTAATAGTAAAATTTTTATTGACCTTTGGCTAAATTACCAAAAAATAAATAATTACAAGGAGTGTTGAGTATATATCCTGATAACACTTCAATAATTATCTAACAAACTCTTAACGGAGGTGATTAAGAAAACCACTAGCAATAGTGTCCGCGCGATGTTATGGGTTTTTAAACTGCACCAAACATGTAGAAAGTTCTATTTATAACTTTGTCTAACTGAAAGAATAGAAAAAGTTTGTTTGCTACCAAAATAGATTAATTTGAGTGAAATGTGTTAAAGAAGTTTAGAGCGGAGCAAATCTTGTAATATCAATAGGGAAATAATTTGATGGAACCTGGCTCCAATTGAGGTCAACTGTTCTTTGTAAGTTTGTTGGAAAATGTAGCAATTGTCATGAAAATATCAACCAAGAGCGTTGAAGGAATGTAACCTGAATGGTATCAATTCAATTATCCCGAGGGTGGAGTTATATTTCATAGGTAGCATAAAACATAAAAGTTTAACCAAACGATGAAATCGAAGCTAGGAAGCTCAATGCTTATACATCTAAAACGTATAAAGTTTGGGTAAACAATCAAAATCCACTACAAGAAAAATGGCCTATGGATACAAAATTGAGGACACAATTAATTATTTTGTGGGTAACTAACCAATTTTACACACAAAAAAATTGTATTTGTTTCCTTTGTATAAAGGCACTAATTAATGTGCCCATTCTTCTACAAATTTGGCACAAATATTTTTTAAAGACATCATTATAAAAATAATGGACTCAAATTATCATTTGTGCCAACATTTTACTTCAAAAGACACAATTATTTATTTTTTATTATTTTTCAAATACTTAAGGCCCCCACATACCCCACTTTCTTTGCCTTTCTGTCTCTCTCAGTTAACCCACCCACACCCCACTTTCCTCCTTAACCCACCCACACGCCACACCCCACACCCCACTTCCCTCTCTCTCCCTTTAACCCCTCCCTCTGTCTCTCTACCTAAATTCTCTCTATCTCAACCAAACAAAATCTATGCTTCTCCCTCTACCACTCTTACTTCTCTCAAATCTGAGATTTTCTTTCGTTTTTTTCTTGGAAAAACACCTGTGCATCAGATTTGAGAAACACCAATGCCTCCGCATCTCTCTCTATCTCAATCGATCCGTCTCTCCCTCTCGTTGCATCTCATGCTCAGATCCCAACTGTCTGTCGTTTGAGAAAGAACTTGAAGAAATGCAAGAGAAGCTTCAGGCAACGAGGCTTTAGAAGGAGAAACCGAGAAGCTCCTTAAGAAGGAGGAGATCTTGAAGTTCAAGAAGGAAGAGCTCCAAACAAAGGGCCAAGAGCAAGACAAGCTTCAGATGGAGTTGAAGAAGCTGCAGGACTTCAAACTCGTCGAGTCGGTTAAGTTTGAGATCGGATCTAAGATTCTGAGGAAGCACCATCGTCTTCACTATTCCTCAGATCAATGCCATAAAGAGGTAGTTGTTTTATATTTTTCCTAATTCACAATCAAGTTTTCCTTTTTTTTGTTTACTTTTTCAAATTTATCGTAATTTTTTGGGATTCCACAGTGTTTGGAGGCAAAGGGGTTTAGATGGTTTAGGGGTTCGTTTTTGACCTTTGATACCTTGTGATCGATCAACTGGAATTTCAAAATTAGATGGTCTGTATTTTTGTTAGCTAGCTGTAGAGTTGTATGATAAGCTTGGAGGTATTTGAGCTCATCTTAGTTAAATTTATACTTAATTATGTCCTATAATTTTTTAAGTTTTGAAAACCTAAGAGAAACAGAGTTCATTACCCTGTGGTTTTTCACGTGGGATGTAACCCTACCTCTATACTTCTGCAATTTTAGAACATTATCTTATATATGACTTTAAAGTTTTTGTTAATTAATTCTTTTTAATCAAATAGTATCTGCATTAGTTTCCTTTCCATATTTCTAGTGAAGAATTTTTAGTTTGTGTGTAATGTTTGAATTGATTGTATTAAAATTGGTTGTGATTTTTTCTTTCTTTTGTATTACAGTACAACAAAGACATAATCTAATCTATAAAGTTGTTTGTTTACATTCTTTGATCAGGAGCTGCTAATCAGTTATTAACACAACTTTATATTGTTGGGTATTTAAGGACTTATCATTGTCGTGATCATCAGTACCTATATGGCTATCTAGCTTGTGGCCTTGCTGGTTTCTCTACCGGTATGGCTATCAGCATTGTCGATGATGTCGGTGTTAGGTAATATCTCTCTTTCTCTTGGAAAGGATTGGCCTTACTCTTGCTAAGGGTGTATATATCATATCTCTTCAATTGTTTCTTAATTTATTTTTTGCACTTGCTCCTTTGATCAATTATTTAGCTATATATATCAGAGTCATGATATGATGGGCATTTTCAGGTGAACATTTTCAATATTATTTTAGATAGTATATAATACCAAATAATGTATTGACATTTGATATTCTGAACTGAATTCGTCAGATTGTAAATCAACATGAAGCTACAAGTAGCAACATTGTCAGGCACAAGGAGTGTAATCTTCAAACACTTGGAATTGGTGGCTTAGGTGCTGAGTTTGCAGATATATTTCGAAGAGCTTTTGTATCTCATGTTTTCCCTCCTCACGTGACAAATAAGTAAGATAACTGATTCTTCTAGTTGCGCTGATATCTTTTTGGTATAACTTTATACCACACTCCTTTTTGGAAAGACATTGAACCATGTCGAATCATGATTTAACACATCATTTTGATGCTAGTACATTATTTTAACAAAGCTATTTGAGCATGTCTGAATGATTTTGGATATGCAACTTATCCTTAGAGATAAGTTAGCTATTATCTGCATTGGTGATTGATGAGATTTCTGTTTTTGTGAACTGTGCTAGATTGTTAATGGACCTGAAGTTTTGAGCAAGTTGGTGAAACTAAGAAAAATATTAGGAATCTATTTGCTGATGCTAAGAATGATCAAAGGGCTCGCGGTAAGGGAAATATATACATGTCAAGTGCACTTAGGCTGGTTTTTCAATAATTTCTAATCTCATTATGTCCTTAATTCCCCTGGAGATCAGAGTGGTTTGCATGCAATAATCTTTGATGAAATGGATGCTATTTGTAAGGTATAAATATTTCCTAGTCTATGCTTTTTACTAAGATTCTTATTCAACTACGATTTATTTTCAATTCAGAAAAAGTTGTGGGACTCTCAGTTTAAGCAAGAAGGGAATGTGGTTTAAGTGAGCTTCATTGCCCGAAGAACTTGGGTCCATCGGCTGCAGTGTTGTGGGGGAGGATAGGATTCTGAAGGACTTGGTTGTAAATAACTAAAATACGTGTATATTGTGGGATTTGTTGATTTAAAAGAAAATTCAATTTTTCTACATTAATAATTTTTTTTTTAAATAGAACCTATTGGGCACGATTTGAAAATTGTGTGCGTATGATCTTGTCACCTGATAATCTGACATGGTTGTCAGAATTAAGACACAAATAGGCTGTTATTTGTGCTGAACTCTTTGAGCACAAATAACAATATTGTGTGCTATCAGCAATGGTGACGCCCATAGAGGGCACATACATAAAGATAGTAGCTGCATTGTTACTATTGGTCTATGAGCACAATTGTTGGTGCTTTTTGATCTCAAAGGGCACAGATAATTTATTGTGTGCAGTGCTCATTTTTTTTGTAGTGATCCAGCTAGAAACCTGAATGGTTAAACCCAAAGATTGTCAGTAACAACTAAACTACGTAATTTTTTTGGTATTAATTAATTCATTTGTATCATTGCATTAAAACAATTGAAAATGCGAAGAAAGGTTAAACACATAGGATTTAATGAGAAAAGCCGTAGCTGAAGTGGGTAAAAAATTTGGAGCACAATGTCGAATATGAATTATGTACCAATGGTGAACTTATATTTCACAGGCACCATGAAATATAAAATTTTGATCAAACAATGAAAACCCAGCCAGAAACGTAAACTATGTTATTTTTTGTTGTATTAATTCATGTGCCTCAATATTGCACTAAAACAACTGAAAATGCTAGCAAAGGTTAAACATATGCATAGGATTTCATGAGAAAAGCTTTAGCTAAAGTGGGTAAAAAATTTGGACACCGCTGTGGACTTGAGGCCTTCTTCATGGTATATAAAAGCGCATCATTCTGGGGAAGAAATTGAGAATTTAGTGTTATAGTTTGAGTGCATGGAAATAATTAGAGAGCCAAGGGGGATAGCTTGAAGACACATTGGAGGAGTTTAATTTGAGGCCACCACAGTTACCCAAGTGAAGAAGATTTTCGAAAAGAGTGTTGTTGGATGCTGCTTTGGTGGCTGAACCTGGGATGAAATTAGTTAATTACACACATGGAAAAAGAAATAAAGAGTGAATTAGAAGATTTGATCACAAAGCTTGTCTCTGCACTTGATATGGACTTGAACAAATACTGAATGCAAAAGGGTAAGGCATAAACATCTTACCAAAATAAGTATTCAATTCTTAATATCTAAATTAAAGAGAATAAAACGCATAGATTTGGAACGCCGAAAAAGAAGGGAAGAGGTGTAAAAACATTGGAAAGCTAGACACAAAAGCTGTTAAAAAATGAAAATGATGAATCTAATGATAAGAAGAAAAACAAAATTCATAGACAAAACCTATCTAAACAGTGAAAACCGTTTGGAAAAAAATTAGTGAATAGAGTAGATGCCAAGCATATGAATGCATACTTCGGTTAAATTGGATGTTAATATTGTCAATCAGTGAATAATTTGATAAAACTTGCTATGTAAGAATGGAATATAGGATGTATTAAGATGGATCATATATCTTTGGTTTTGTTTCTCTGTGAAATACAGAGATGTCATTTGATGTAGAATTTTAGATGTCATCATTTCCATCTTTTTTCTTCAGAAAAATTGGTCGTTATCAATTTATATGTCAAACTTTCTTCTTTTGGCTTGCTCTTTATAGATAATCAATTATTCAACTTTTCATAGAGAAGTTTAAGATGGGCATCGAAAAGTACGAATAGAAACGTTCTCACCAAAGATATATTCTCTCCATACGCTTTAAGTGATCCAATAAACATCTTAGACTTGGAGAAATTGTTAAATATGAGTAATGAAAATAGTAAGTGGATATATTTAACCTTGAAACAGAGAAAAGAATCATATAAGATAATTATATAGAGCAGGCAACCAAGCATACAAAATGTACAAAGTTACAGAGGTAAAATCCAAGCATAGCTTTAAATACTATATAAAAATTGTAATTCTTTGCATTATTTTCTCCATTTTCTATCAATATTTTTAAAACTTCTCTTGATGTAACTCAAGACAATGCAACATATAATTGTCCATGAGCGAATATAAGTTCAGAAAGATATAATCCAACTTGTTTTAAAGACTGTCCTTGGTTTTTATTAATAATCATAGCATGGTCTAATTGGAAATTGACGTCTTTTAAAAATGAAAGGTCACTTACTTTCAGTTGTTGTCACATCTCGGCCTGGGGCGGATCACTTCCCGGGCCCGCTCCACCACCGTAGCACGATATTGTCCGCTTTGGGCTTACCATTCCCTCACGATTTTGTTTTTGGGAACTCACGAGCAACTTCTTAGTGGGTCACCTATCATGGGATTGCTCTAGCCCCCTTCTCGCTTAACTTCGGAGTTCCTACGGAACCCGAAGTCAATGAGCTCCCAAAAGGCCTCGTGCTACATAGAGATGGAAATATACATATAAGGATCACTCCCCTGCGCGATGTGGGATGTTACAATCCACCCCCCTTAGGGGCCCGACATCCTCGTCGGCACACCACGGCCAGGGTTAGGCTCTAATACCATATTGTCACATCTCGGCCCGAGGTGAATCATTTCCTGGGCCCATTCCACCACTGTAGCACGATATTGTCCGCTTTGGGCCTACCATTCCCTCATGGTTTTGTTTTTGAGAACTCATGAGCAACTTCCCAGACCCATCATGGGATTGCTCAAGCCCCTTCTCGCTTAACTTCAGAGTTCCTACAAAACCCAAAGCCAGTGAGCTCCCAAAAGGCCTCGTGCTAGGTAGGGATGGGAATATACATTTAAAGATCACTCCCCTGGGCGATGTAGGATGTTACAATCCACCCCCCTTAGGGGCTCGACGTCCTCGTCGGCACACCACGACCAGGGTTAGGCTCTGATACCAAATTGTCACATCCCGGCCCGGGGCACTTCCCGGGCCTGCTCCACCACCGTAGCACGATATTGTTTTTTTTGGGCTTACCATTCCCTCACGGTTTTGTTCTTGGGAACTCACAAGCAACTTCCCTGTGGGTCACCCATCATGGGATTGCTCTAGCCCCCTTCTTGCTTAACTTCAGAGTTCCTACGGAACCCGAAGTCAGTGAGCTCCCAAAAGGCCTCGTGCTAGATAGAGATGGAAATATACATATAAGGATCACTCCCCTGGGCGATGTGGGATGTTACAGTTGTTGTAAGAGCTATTCTAGGTATAAATACTTTGTGACCAATGTTGTTTCCAGAAAGTATTCTAGTTCCATTATACAAACTATAAATAAGAGATGTTCAAAGAAGCATTTATTATATCTTCTTTACTTCCTCCAGAATAATAGGTAATATTTGTCTAAAATCACCTCCTAGTAAAAGAGGTTTACCATCAAATGGAAGATTTTTATCAAGAGTATGCAAGTGTGATAAAATATCAAAAAGAATTTTATCTAATGCTTCAAAACAGTGTCTATGATTCATAGGTGTTTCATCCCATTTAATTAAATATGTTTTTTCAATTATTGTAGCAAGATGAGTTTTTTTCTTTAATGAATAAATTGTAGAATCAGTAATAACTAATGAAATTTTGAATCTGGAATGAGCTGTTCTACTACCTGATAATAACAATGATGCTATTCTTAATGATGGCACGGCCAAAACAATTTTTCCCTCAGATCTAAGTCTACTTATGATTATATCTCACAAAAAAAAAATTCCAGTGCCTCCATGACCATAAACAAAAAATAATCCAATTTTTTTTGTATGCACAGTATCTATAACACAATCGTATACATATTTTCTATCTTGATTAAGTTGTGACTTTAAAAGTGCATGTTTTTGTATAATTCTTGACAATCATAATTTAAGTCTTCTCTTAAAAGCCTGTTTTTAATCTCTAACATTTATTTTCATCTAGCATTGGTAAATGGTACTTCTGAAGGAAAAGCATTGTTAAAAAGCAATTCTAACTCAAATAATACAGAATTTTTTAATTCATCTTCTCGTATAATCATATTAGAAATTGAAAATGTTTTTTGAAATTTGTACAAAAGTCATCATATATATATTCTTCCAATGAGTATCAAAAAGAATTTGAGGATTTGCAACATCACAAAATAAAACCATTGTAACAAAAAGTTGTCTTAATTGAGGGGATGATGCAACATTTACCGCAGTTGATAAAGTTTCTAACCATTCTTTATCGTCACCTAGTAATTCCAATGATTTGCATGCAACATGGTATGAAGAATGTATAGCACAGTTGACAGTTTTAATATCGTCAAAACTTAATGCACCTTTTTTCAAATTCATTCTTAAATAATATAATTCACCAGATGCCGGATATACATATGATATTCTACATATTGATTAAAAATTTCATAAAGCTGTGGATTAAGAGTTTTATCTGGTATTTCAGCTGAGATAATTGAATCTATATCAAAGGAAAGAAAGCACTTGAAATTATATTTAATCATATTAACATATGAGAATGAGGCAAACCCTTTTTTGGAAATTCAATTGTGCAGACATTTGCTTGCAAGGAGACATTGAAAAGCCAAAGAAAAAAGATAACTTAGTTTTACAAAAATAAAAAATAAAAAAAGAACTAAGAAAAAAGCTAGATTAATTAAAACGATTAGTTATTGGAACTCACTTGTTTGAACTCCTCCAAAAGTCTTTCCAGATTTTATAAAATCAAGCATATCATCAAGTTTCATTTTAAATATTCTAGAAATTATATAAGGCTTATCTTCAAGTTTGTATCGTAGTTTTTTAAGAAAAAAGATAGATTAATTAAAACGATTAATTATTGGAACTCACTTGTTTGAACTCCTCCAAAAGGCTTTCCAGATTTTATAAAATCAAGCATGTCATCAAGTTTCATTTTAAATATTCGAGAAATTATATGAGGCTTATCTTCAGGTTTGTATCCTGGTTTTTTTTTTTTTCAAATTCGCTTACAATTTTGGGCCATATTCTCTGCAAATAGTCATTGCTACCTGATAATTATTATTTATATATCTAGGACTTCCTATGTATGAAGCAGGTAATATAATTTTTTGACCTAATTTTTTTGCATCATTTATCACCTCTTGACACTGCATCATAAATTCCTTTGTAAACTTTAGTTCTTTTTTTTTTTTTTTTTTTTTTTTTTTTGGTTTTGTCTAATGTAATCCAATCTATCTTCTTCAAGTGTTGCATAACAATCAACCAAATATTGCTGAAAAAGTCTACCACCTTTTAACAATGTGCTTAACAATGGATCTCGTTCTTGAATTTGATAAGCAATAAAAGCTCTCATAGGCACTCTTTCTCTTTTATTTTTTGATGCTTTAGAACTTTCATTCCATTTTAAATCCGGTTTATAACCATCTTCACCATATGGAAAAAGAATA